TTTAAATAAACTTGGTGGCAAACCATTTATGGAATGGATACGGAGAATTTGTTGGAAGGCAAGGGAGGGAGGGGGAGGGGGGAGGAGGGGGAATTTTTATTGTCAAATGATTTAAGAATTAACTGCAATTATGTCTTTGTACAAAAATAATGGTAACATAATGAATATGAGAAGCATCACTAAGTGTATATAGTTGGAAGAGTATATTTACAGCAGAAGAAAATGATATACTGTACAGTACTATACAATATATTATGTACTATAGACAAAACGCGGCGACCCCTCTGATGACTCAAATGGGAATTCACATTTGAGGATAACATTACTGGATCATCAAGGAGAGAGAAATCAAAAGTCACACCCATCTAGAAATGGCATGTGAATGACTCTTTGCCACAAAGGCTATGCCATCGTGGGGACCCAAGTCCAAAAAGCCTGTGGAGGTGACCATAAGCAAAGAGAGCCAACCTAATTAAAAACAACACATAGCAGAAGAACAAATGAGAAAGTTGTTGCAGCAAAGAATGTGTATTCTACACAGTACATCTACATTTTAAAAGACTTGCACTTGTGGTTAACTATTTATAGCCCCATTCCAGTTGCTGAAAGTTTAATTTTCTGCTTAACGAGCATTTTTCACAACCCTTTGCACATATTTCACACACTTTATGAAATTGGGTTAAAACAGGAAAGTTCCGGTACAAATGTAATGACCATTTCTGGGATAATATGAAAACAAATTAATATTTCAGTTAAGGTGGTGGAACTCTTAATTTTCCAAAGCAAATTGTCCACTTCAGCTGACTGCTCAGCGATAGAAAGTGGTTATATGCAATTTGCTGTTTGCAAATCTACATATATAGTATAGCACTGTAGCTGGAATGATTTGAGCAACAAAATGTTTGAAAATTTATGGTCTTTAGTACTGTATATACTGCAGTAGTAATAAAAAATTGGATAACCAATATAGGGTGCACAAACAGCATGTGTTAACATGCTAATTGTAAACAATGACCAGATATTTTGGATTGGCAGCACATTTTTGTTATATACTTCTTTCATCTTACTATGTATAGTATTCCTAAAGAAATTGCAGCACCAAAACATTGAATAACTAAAGGTCCCTGCCATACTGTTGTGTTCTCCTCACACAATTTCTCCAGTTTGCCATTTAACACTTAAATTTATCAAGGTTACCTTTATTTGTCAAAATACTGTGTGGAAAACCACTTTAGTCATTTAGTGTAGTGTATTCTGGCTTCACTGGATGTAAGTTACTGAAATCACTACTAACATTATGAGAGGTACAAAGTTGAAGGCTAAATATTGTACGGGCAATCAAAAATCAAGAGAAGTAAAATTAATAGTTAAAACCAAAGTCATTAGAAGATACATAAATGAAAGTATTGTATGGCAAAACATTATAGATTGTGCTAACATGGGACTGGCAGTAAATTTAATGTAGTGAATAATTATGCTGCACCACAAATAACCAGATTTAATATAATATGTATTACATAGAGGACCGGGCCGCGGGGATGCTAAGCCCCGAAATCAAGATAGATAAAAAACAAGACCACACACACGAGACAATTCATAACACAAAGAAACTGAACACACTTGAAATCTACCCTTTCATAAAGAAAACAAATTCACCACATTACACAAGCCTGTAATTCCACCTAGAACTGCTCTAGTTCTTTGCTCCCTACGTTAATCATGCCTTACACATTTGTCTTCAGTTTCGCATTTAAATTAGCACAGAATAGCAACATTTTTCCCCTTCCACTCCTGCTTATTCAGGCAAGCAGGTTTAACAATTAATTGCATGTATTTAAGAGATTTTGCAAGGATTTTCTGTCCTACCTAAAAATGACTCCCAAAAGAAAAAATGTAAATATCTTTTTTACACACATGAGCAAGCAACTTCTCTCTTTTGTACATTAAGTCTGATAACATGACAATTTACAAGTACTGTACTATACACCAGGTCGTTTGGAAGATGTGTTCTGCTATGGCTACATTCTGTTGCTATCTATTGTACTGTAAATAATATAATGAATAGGCAAATTATATTTTAATGCATTACACAATACCTACAACTTTTCATTATAGTACTGCTCTCTCCCTACCATATGGAAGTAAAAAATAAGGTATGCATATATGCAGGCATAAACTGAACCAAAGATTAGAGGATTTCTTATGATTGCTCTATACTATTAGCTTACAAATGAGCGTTGTTCTCTTAACTTGCCAGTCAGTAGTAATTGTTGCGTCATTGAATACAACTTTTTTAATTGCAAGAGTTGATACAAAATAAACTAAATAATGGCAGCAAATGCAAAATACTGTACATTCAATGAAAAACCAATGTTGATTTACAAGAGGGCCACTAACCCTAGTGGCCTCGACGAGGACGGGAAGCCAGTGACTTGTCGAAGGTCTCCCAATTTGCCTTAATCTTTTCCATGTAATGCATCTATTCATTTAACTGGTTTAACTGTCATTGTACTGGCTTCCTGCTTTTCACAGAAGTGACTAGTTATTTAGTTCATTCATCTTACACCCAACACCTATCCTATGTGGCAGTAGAAAAGGTTACCTAAATACATAATGGGTTCGGAAACTGAACCTCAAAATTTCCTTTAGGAGAGCATGTTAGTTTTTTTTTTTTTTTTCCAAACAATGGGTTCAAGAATAACCACAAGTAGTCTCTAAAGTTAAGTATCATATACAGAGCGAGCTAAATTTCACCCTTTGATGTCCTCATCATGCACAACTGGATGGGGGGGGGGGCCCCACCATCCAGTTAGCAGCAGTGGAAAGGTTACTCACTCACTCACAAAAGGTTACACATTTACTTCCTAGTTAGCAAACTGGGGATATGTAATGTATTTGGTTTAAATTTCTGGTACTGCATATCTTTAATTAAATATTTATAATTTTTTAACATCTGTTACCGAATTGTCTCCAAATTCTTTTATCTTTCCACACTCCATCACACAGTGACAGGGTGTGTGTGCGCAAATAATTTCCCAACAATTTACATTTGGCGAGGTGTACCTCAACAGGTAATGCAAATTTCCAGAGATATTTATAACTAAATCTAAGACAAACACTTGTAACATCTAGGAGTGTGGCGATTATATTGGATATAATTCATAGCTATGTGGCCCTACTTGCATAACATGATTGATGGAACTGTTATTGTAAATTTCACATTCTTTCATATCTACAAGGTTTTGTTAGTTCTTTGAGCATTATTGTACATATATTTAGGTTGCATGCAGGCACTTCAAGGGTATAGTAAACTCTTCCTTTGAAGGCAAATTCTTTGGCCAACTCGTCAGCTATATGTATTCGGTCAACAAATGATTCACATGCATTGGACTGTTACCATCATTAATAAGTTGTTGCATTTTATGTTGGGTTATAACTATAAATGTCATCGAGATGTCCGCAAACCATTTCTCTACAAAATAGATGCAAAAAGAAGCGCATACAGTATATAAAAATTTATGAGCGAGAGCACTGAAAATAATAAATGTTTATGAACAGCAGTCTAATGATGCATTTTACCATTATTGGAACCTTTACCATTGGAGTGTGGCTGATGAGTCTGTGTCATCAGAATATGAAAGTGTGGTCAGAGGTTTGACCGGGAGACAAATAGTTTGGTCAGAAGGATATAAGCCTAGTAGTTTGTATGGACTCCCCGTTCAAAATTTAAGCCATCACCCATTTCTCAGAACAGCTGCACTTCTAGCAGCACCAGTAGGGTGGCATAGGGAACCATCAGTGTACAGTATATGGTTTGAGAGAGGTATGCTCTGTGAGCAGAGTATGAATATGGCTCGGACACATTGATGTTTTTTCTAAAGATTAAGCTCAAGCTGATTTTTAAATATGCTTCTTTGGTGGAAAGGGGGGGGGGGGGGGAGGCAGCAAGAGGATTAAAATTTGTAAGAGGTCTATGCATCTTCCGAATTAACAATACGGTTTAATAGCAAGTGTAACGAGTACAATTCCCGACTGCTAGGAATAGTACATAACACTTGTGCCGTTACATTTACCTCCCCATATTTGGAGGATGGGCGAAAGAGGTGCAGTTGTTGTATCTTTGTATTAATTATAAGTGACACGTGTAGAGTTCAGTTGCAATTTTAGCAATTCATTTTAAACACTATCTTCAGTAAAAAATAGTCTGGAGGGCTTTTGTGTACGAGTTAGGATGAACTAGCCCAAGTATTTTTATGCCTATTAGAAAATTAATTTCTGTAACTTGATCAATGACACTTTGAACATTAGGTTACTTTCCGATATTAAATGCCTATTGTATGGGAGGCCAGCAAGTGATACAGTAAATTGTTAAGGGAATATAATTCTAGAATTTAGTGTCAGGGGACCGACCGCCAGTCTTTACTTAGAGTACATGCAAGTCTTATATCAAGGTCACCCCCCAAGGTTGAATTGACCCTCCCCAGGATGCAACCTCACATGCTGACTAACTCCTGGGTACCTGTTTACTGCTAGGTCAACAGGGACATTAGGCGATAGGAATGCACCCAATCATTTCCGACCCACCTGGGACGTGTAAGCTGCCCAATATGTAGGCAACTTACGAGAATTTGGAGTGGCCAGAGTTAAACTAATGTGCTGACTTTCCATGTAGCTAAAGATGATTTAATGAGAAAAGTAGAAGGGTGGGTAATTTGTTAATAGGAGTGCCAATGTACACATTGTCATCTATTTACAATGTTCAGTTACTCAGGAAGTGTGTAACAGTACTTACACCGACTAGAGACTTATGGGACATACAAAGACTAAAAGAAAGGACAACAATAAAAGTATAGATAGCAATATGACAACCTATGAAGTGCTGTAGTTTAAACCACTTAAAAACACCTAAATTGTATTAAAGCTTTATTCTCATCCACAAAAGTTAATTTTTCTCCATATGATCCTTAAAAATACACTTAGGGAAATAATTAAATCCACTGTAAAAATACAATAATTATTTTATTCCTTACTTGACGACAAGTAAGCATGTAACAACTAAACGATATGACAAGTCAAAGAATTTCTATAATGAAGATTTTTTTTATTTTTTTTTTTAACGAAAGAAATGTTAGTTTGACTGGTAGGAGTTAAGGGATTTTATTTAAAAATTCCTCTAATGACCATACCTGAAAAAAAGGAAAGACAGTTAACTTGGCATATTAAGAGCTCCTACAGTGCATTCCAGCTATAACAAATTTCCACAAGACAACTTTAACCAATTGTGTTGCTACATCTCCCAGTTCTCTATTTGGTGGTACTGTAGTCTCGTTAGAAATTTCTCCAGGAGGCTCAATCAACACAAACTTTTCACTTTTTCCAAGCGCTAACCCTACCAACATCTCTCCCTCTCCCCTCCCAAGATACTGTTAACTTGCCTCAACAATATGAAACTTACCCCTGTATGCCCTTCCTCAAACAATACTTAGGCATCCTACCAACATGCCCACACCACCCAAGGGCACTGCACTTCACCCACTAGACATTACATTCTCACACCCCCATTTTCATTACACCTATCATACTTCATTAGCATACCCATCTCACAAGTGCTGTACTGTACGGTATAGTCATACTGGCTTAATGCTTTCTCCTCAATTACCTTACTATACCCATCACACAAATTTACACCAACCACTTGTCCAATAAAATACTTTACCAAAAATATGAATAGCCTGCCCCCTTACCATACCATAGAGCAGTGGTTCCCAAGCAGTGGGTTGTGCAATGTTTTCTGGTAGGTTATGAAACCTAAAATCTGAGTACTAGTACAGTTATTTGAATCATTGAGAATTATCAAGTGGCGAGTATCCTGATCAGACATTTTTTCCCAAATTATAAAAGTGTGGCAGGGGGGGGTAAGGCAAGGTACTGTATCAGAAGAAAGCACAAAGATACTATGACTATATAACACTTGAAAAAGATAAGAGGATAAGGATTTAGAATAGGATCAAGGAAAGGAACAATGCCTAACCACTTTGATGTTCAGGGATTGAACGCCAACCAGCAGTCTGACATGAGGGGAAAATAGACAAGAGTAAGAATGCATTATTGGAGAAAAGGGAATGAGGTGTGAATTTTGTAGATATCAACAGCAGGGTAAGAAATTTGAAATTCAGGATAAAAATGGGGGAAAAAAAGTTATGAAGGGTTAAGACTGAAACACTTCATTAGTGTTTAGATAAAATTGGAGGTATCAAAACATTAAATACTGGTATGGGAGTACTTGGTGAGAGTAGTGGCAAAATGGATGAAGAGCCCAGTGCCCACAATCCCTGAGTATACCAATTTCTACCAAATCTCTGCAACATTATAAAATCCTACAATTGTGTTTCCCGTGCACTACCTTATCTTACCTTGCAGTTACTGTAATTTGCGGTTATTCTAGGAATCAACGTCCTTATGGCCCAGTCTCTGACAAGGCCTAAAATATCCACACTTGACTATCATGTACTTAAGGTATCTTAACACATCCACCAACCCCCTCCTGTACTTTATATTTTTATACTATATTTACAAAATGTGAAATTGTACAAGAAAACTTTAGATATAAAAATTATGGCTAAATTAAACTAGGACAAAAAATGGCAGGACTCACTTCTGGAACTCCCATTCCCTGTTGTCTAATGGGCATACCTGACGCGTCTTCAACCATCGAGATATACAGTGGAAATGGAAAGCATGCTGAAATAAATAAATACCATTATATGAGATGCTAAACACCTGCAGGTAAAGTAATTATTTTAAAGGAAATGGTACATCTACATTCCAACAACTTTGCCATAATGTCTTTCCAGGTCATCCAATGCACACACATTACATTACATAGGAGTTCAAGACATTACTCATACAGTAAGACTGTACTTTGGTAATAAACGATACTTTATACTGTACTTAATAAAGTTGGCATTTACTCCCATATATTTTATTTCAAAGGAATATTCTCCCATACTTATTTTCATTTACTCAGCCAGCAAACTCACCATCTCTAGCTTCATCTAAAATAATCAAGAGCTACAAAGAAGGCAAGAAATGCAGCCCTGCTTGTTTATGGCATAAACTGCAACACAAATTGGAACTATTAGCTAGGACAAAACTCAGATTTTAGAATACTGCATATGAAGGGTTGTACACCAGTGAAGTAACTATCAAAAGAATACACCAAGCCAGGAAGACTATGAAGCACCGCCTGTGTTGCTGGATATTCAAAATGCACTAAATATCACTCAAGATGACAATACAAGCACAGATACAAGGCAAGTGATATTAAAGGTGTCCGATTCACCAATGATCTCAGGGACATTAGAAAAGCAAGACATACGAGCACGCCAAAAAAATCAGGACATTTAACAAGGAGATTCACGACCAAGGTCCAGCAAGGAAAGTGGTGCCGAGGAGCAGCAGTCAAGGGATTCACGCTGAGGAAAGACATGAATGATGGCGTGCATAAGAGCAGAGGCAGCATCAGAGGAAGGAATAAGGACAGTGAAAACTCAGACGAGTCAGACGACTCCATCTACCAAGATGGAAGTAGGTGCTGGACCAAGACCGGAGGGGGTGAGGCAGAGGAATGACCAATGCCTTCTTACCAGCTGGGGAGGAAGAGGGACCAGGTGACATTTGTGACAGCGGCACAGGTGCAGTAGTGTCAAGGTTTTGAGAGAGCTATCATCTCAGGTAGGGAGGGAGAACGAGAGTGGGTATCACGAGGATCGAAGGGCAGAGGATGGATATTGGCCAGGATGGTCAGATGCCGAGGAGTGCCAAAAAACGGGGAAGGACCGAGAAGGAAGACAGGACTGAGCCGGAGGGATCCACAGTGGATAAAAGAAATTAAAGTTTATTAAGGTATAAGTGCACACAAAGGGATGAGGTAGCTCAAGCAATTGGCACCCCGTTCAGTTCAACGAGTTCGTGAATAACAGACACACATCACAATCAACATATTACCGAACATTACAAATAATAAACATACTGTACATTTCTTCCTCAATACATACAGTATGTTACCAGATGTACACAAATACTTTTATGACTAGGTGCACAGACAATTTACAAGAAGTGGAGAAGCAACTTGAAAATGGTAGAGGGAGAAGACTGGAAAGACAGGGTAGAACATAACAGGAGAACAATCACCGTAGCAGACCCTAGGGGGACAGGGGTAAGAGTGCATGGAGGTGTCAAGGTTCAAGGATTGAACTGTTGTTAACCCGAGGAGGTGGAGGAAAGTTGGGTAGAGCTTGACATTTCAAGGACAAGTCATGGCAGGTGGAAAGGAGGTGGACCTGGCCTCTCGTCTTGAGCAAAGATATGCATCCCCAATTTTTGGGCTTCAAAGTGGAGGATAGCTCATTTCAAATTTATAAGGTAGACAACATGAAAAATACAAGTTGGGCATTATAAGCGTCGAGTTAAGGAGCTTGAAAGAACACCGAGCTAGTACGGTCCGAGACACCACACAACAGGCTCCATGCCCGAATTTCCAACAAGAACTTCACCAACGTGATGCAGGGCAGCTAAGAGAGTGGCTACCACAATGACGTGGGGTGCTAGTCTGGGTAAGATTATACAGTACTACCACCCACAGAGTCTGAGTGTGTGTGTGTGTGTGTGTGTGTGTGTGTGTGTAAACCGTTAGGACTAGTATGAACATCATGCGAGACTTCAAATGTTTAGGAAACATAACATGGCCAAACAGGTAGCGGAATGTACAGGTATCAGCAGTTGTAAGAAATGTGTACACTATGTCGTCTCAAACCCTTCAGAAAGATGGGGGGGGGGGGGACAAAAGGCACCAGAGTAACCATCAAAACGATCGAATTGTATCGGGTGAATAGGCAGTCACCACTGAGAACTACCACTACCTGCCAATAGAGGCTGGGAAAGAGGAACAGAAGACATAGCCTAATCTGGATCAATCATAGCCAGAGCTATGGAACCCGCTCTTCCATCAGTCTGACATGGGGACCTGGTAACCCACACCATGAAACAGTAGGAGAAATGCAGTCAGAATTAAACTTGTGTACCCTGCATCCCCAGTCCACCATTGTATTCAACAAGGTGGGTTACGAGTATGTGGGCTAGCAACCTTAGCGGGTAGGAACAGTACATGTTGGTCACCATTAAAGGGTCCGATGGTATCCAAAGGACCAAAGGGAATACCAAGCCACAATGCCCAAGCGACCCTATGGCTAACTAGACGAGCCGATCGATTCACATCAACCACACCGAACCTCCCATTTACCCTCCCCCCCCCCCAATCCATCCACCAAAGAAATGCGTTGCTCTCAAGGGTTTCGGCTGCTGGGTGGGCTCGACCACCATTTAGGTGAATATAAGGGAATGCACAGGTCTCCCTGCACAGTGAACACATGGGAGGGCAATTTGCTTGTGCACCACCACAAGCTGGAAAGGGGAGCAAGAGCCATACCTACATACCCACACGGGGAATACAAGAGCCCCTCACCACATCAAAGAACCACACATTGGAGGGGGGAAATTTAGCAGAGGGGAAAGAAGATATTCATACAGACCGATATGTTTATTCTTCCTCCCAAGGGGTATGAATGTTATGTCTGGCAGAACATTATAGTATTGTACATTTGAGAGACTATGCAGACAATATATAACTTAAATACTGTAGTACTGTATCATGCAACCTAATTTATTAATCATGCTGTAATACAAAATATACTAGATTTGAAATTGCCAGAATTAGGATTTTTCTAATTCAAATTAGATACGACATAATTAATGTCCTGTATATAAAAAATATTTAATCAAATTTTTCTATTAGGGTTTTAAGTTTGGCCTAAATCCATATGCCTGTCATGATAGAGTTACATATTGGAGTATTATGGCAACTTTTAAAGAGCATTATCATCAGATTGTATTTTACCCAGTTCTCCCCCCTCCCCCATTACAAAAAAATTGTACTTTGTCAATTTAACAATTACTAACCAAAAAAATATCTTATCTGCCATTTTTACCCACAAGCTTTTACAATTGACACTTACATTACACACACCCCAAGCTACCGTGCATTCTTCTGACGTGACAGAGGCCTGGTTGGCCTGACATTCTATGCATAAATCCATGATGTGATTACGACATATAGCACAGTTGTCGACGACGATATCTGAAAAAGCAAGTTAAGAGGATCAGAGTTTCTATGGTTGGAAACCTTTATAAAACAAATCATACAGTCTGATATAAAATTTAGATTTTACATATTTAAGAGGTCTCCTAGACAAGGCATCTCAGGACACAAACAGCAGCGCAAAGTGCACAAGGATCTAAATTGAAATCAGTTTATCGAGGTATAAATACACAAAGGGATGAGGTAGCTCAAGCTACTGTATTCTCACCCCATTCAGCACACCGTATTCATGTGTATACACACACACACACATCAGAAGCAATCAACATATTTCCAAACATTCAGATACACACATTTCTTCCTTTACACATGCAGTTTGTTATGAGACACACACACACAAATACTTTTATTTATGTGCAAGGCGACGCCTTACATTTGCACACAATAACATCAGTGGGTTGGTACCATCAGTATCATTGTCCTTTGACGAATTCCACGTGTCCGTCTGGGAATTTGCAGTGGCATTCCAGGTCATGGTACTCAATCTTCAGTTTGGCGAGGTCAGTGTAGGAATTCACAGAGAAGGCATGGACTAACATGGGGTATGGGTGGTTGTTGATGTTCTTCGTGCTGCTTATCTAATTACATTTGAGAGTGTCTGGTGTTGCCATTGAAGTCGCTGGGTGCAGTGCAGAGAATATAGGCATTTTTTTGTCATCGGCAGTCGCAAGGCCATTCTAGGCAACGTCGGTACCAGCTCTAACAACTGACCGACACTTGGAGACGCTTCAGAGTCAAGAGTGATCCTCTGTCGCCTTTGGATGTGATGTCTATATTGACAAGGGCAGCCAGGGTGGTTGGCGTCCCTTTTTCCAGACTGGTTGTGGGACCGGCAGCTTTAGGAGCGGGGAGAAGGTCACCGGGTACTGGTACCGTCGGCAGTCCATTTGCAGCTGGTTGACGGTGTGAATGTATAGATTGACGTTCATTGCTCACCCGCCAGATTGTTGGCGAGGTGTAAAAGTACCAGTAGCAGGGCGTTATTGGTGGAAGGGCCTGCGGGCCGTTCCAAGCAACAGCCTGTTTGACCACGCTCACACAAGTCAAGCCTGGCATCCAATTACTGAATATATGGTTTGTCAAGGAATTTCTGCAGCGCTCACAATTCTCACCTCACCAGTTGTGCAGTGTCTAAATACCGATATTGAGGAATTTACCCCCATACGATGGATCCTTAGTCAAGCTATTTTATCCAATCCTTAAGTGTTAGCCAATCTTAAATATCCTCAAATCAAACATCAATCATTATGTTTTGTAACAATCAAATACTCTATTGCACACCATTAAAAAAAAAAAAAAAAAAAAAAAAATGGTTAAGAGTATACTGGTACTATACTGAAAAAGACACTAACTCACCCCCATCCCCCCCAAAATTTTTTTTTGGACTAGCCACCGAGAATTACCACTTTTTAATTCGTATTTTGTCATGAATATATATTGCAATTAGTGCTGGAAATGTTATGAATATTGCACATATTCACCCATAATGGAGTCGAGTTGTCAAGGGAAAAAAATTTATAAAAAATTATTAAAGTGAGAAAAAATAACCAGTGTCAAGCAAGTAGCCAATATAAATTTGGGTCATATTAGTGCGGTGTTAATATCATACAATAAAGGCCTTAAAATGATCAAAGAAAAGTCATGGTAAGTCAAGAACCACATTGTTAACAGCCACCACATGATTAAATATTGCACTAAGTACCTTTGAGTTTTGTTTCTTGGTTTGTGTTATTTTCTAATTTTGCTTATGTCTCCAAAGTACTGAAAATATCAATTATTTCCTTCAAAACTTTGACCCTTGCCAGCTTCAGGAAGACGTCCAAAGTACTGTACTGGTGCTTGAAGGCTGCTGACACCTTATTTTAATCAATTCATTGTGTTGGGGGACAGAAGCCAGAGTGTATTCATACATGTTAGGGTTATAGCGAGGTCCTCCCCCTCCCCCAGGATGTAACCACACAAGCCGATTAACTCCTGGATACCTACTTACTGCTAGGTGAACAGAGGCATTAGGCAAAAAGAAATGTGACCAACCATTTCTGTCCCACCGGGCAGTCGAACCCGGCAGTCTCTATTGTGTATCGAGAACAATACCAGACTGTACTACCGGGACATTAGAGTTGTACCAATTTGTCACGTCCATTTTCTATAATTTGAAGGCATAAGCAATTAGAAAAACAACACTTGCTACCCAGGGGGAAAAAATTGTGTTCCATAGTACAAAGTACTGTACAGTATTTTAATGTGTAACTGTAAGCAAAAACTATACTCACCCCATGCCCATAGTGCTACTGCATTCCACTGTAAAAGAAGAATATATAGTTTTAGGCATGGTGTTTTAAATGCATTTCAACACTCTGTATATGCAGGAAGGTATCAAATTCTTACACACACACACACACACGTGTAGCTCTCATCCTGTTACTACATTTAGGTAATTACACACACACAATTCTATTCACTTAAAAAAAATGTCAAAACTAATGATGGGGGTTTAACAGTTTCATTTACTAGATTCTGCAGGAAAAAATATGATCATCATACTGTACCGTAGTTATATGTTGCCAATTTAGTCATTTACAAAATGTGAAATGTAAATGATCAAGGAAAACTGTAGACAGTATTACAAGATCTTTATAACAAATAGACTATTAGTATCTGATAACAGTGCCGTATAGTACCGGCATCCTAAAATATTATTGATACATCTCTGATGAATTTTCAACACATTTTGAAAAGGAACTGAGCAAAAGTTACTTAATTACATAAATTGCCTTACTTTGATTGGGAAGTTTGGTATGTGGAGAGAGATATAGTACCTATTCAAATTTTGTTTTACAGTTACTTCAGCGAAATCGAGAGCATCCTTATCTTGAGATTCTTGAGGTTATCTCGAGATGATTTCGGGGCTTTTTAGTGTCCCCGCGGCCCAGTCCTCGACCAGGCCTCCACCCCCAGGAAGCAGCCCGTGACAGCTTACTAACTCCCACGTACCTATTTACTGCTAGGTAATACGGGCATCAGGGTGAAAGAAACTCTGCCCATTGTTTCTCGCCGGGGCCTGGGATCGAACCCAGGACCACAGGATCATGCGTCCAGTGTTCTGTCCGCTCAGCCACCAGCTCCCATCCATGCCAGTAACTTATGATCTGCAGTTGGTCTATCTTGACACACAGGGGGGCCCTATTTTATTTTATAACAACTTTTTGCAATAATTTTGCTAATATCAATCGGCTTCTACACCCTCAGGTTGTGCAGCAGTGTACTGTACTTTTAAGTGTCGTAACCATAGAGTCTTGGCAATATTCTTTCCTCACGAATGATGACCAAAGTTGTCCTTTACTTGTGAAGATAAGCAAGGGATCCACTGCCAATCCCAAAGGCAGGGAAAACAAATTTAGTTTCTCTTCACCCAATGCAGTAAATTGTTAGCAACTGTAGCAGGGAAAGGGGAAAATTAATAGTTGGCATAGGTGTACCTCGATAAGCTCGAGTACGTGTACAGACTAATAGTCCCTGACAACAGATATTAGTACATTAACAAATGTGCAAAAAAGAGAGTTGACCAATTCGAGGAAGTTATCGAGTGGCGACTTGGAAGTATGCACGAAGGTGGCCCACAGCAGCACCGAACCGTAGTGCCAGGAACTGGCACCTGATAATGCCAGGCAGGAACTGGCACCTGATAGATTAACGACAGCCATATTCGTAACGAGAGCAGACCAAACACGAGTCCATCCCCCCTTGCAAGAGAGCGAGGCGTGGGGGTGACCAACAACAAGCAGCCTCTTCATCTTCCTCCCTGCCTGGGAGCCTCACCAGTCCTCTTATAACCCACAATGGGCCTTCCTGCTCATCCCCCCGTCCCTCACCTTCTTAACCTCGAACCTCTTCTTGTCTTGTTTGGAGGTGCTAGAGGAGGGCACCTCGACTTCTTCCTCCTGTGGGTCGACCTCCATCGCTGACATTCTTCTTCCTCCACCACCACCACTACGGTTGCCATCAACACGGCTCCCTCTCTACTCCATTATTCTCACCGACAAAATGCTCTCCCTACACGCAGTTCTGTCTTCTTTATTACATCAGGTGTTCTTATTGTCTAATATATTACTTTTATCTGATTATAAATCAATAGATAATTATTACAGTCAAGCGACTGCTATTTTCTATCGAATGAGATATTTTCACAGGAGACAATGCGCATCTTGGAGAGAGAACCATATTAGGGGTAAAGCTGCGCTTTCTAAGGTCTAAAGAATTAGTTATTTTGGGGACAGAAAGCTTGTGAATATATATGTATTTTTAGTGTTGTATCTAGGTCCCTTTCCATGGTCGAACTAGTAACTTTCGCCCCAGGAAAGAACCCCACAACAGTTGTCTCCGATACCTATTTACTACTAAGGTAACTAGTTACCTTCAACTGTACACCAACTGTACAATTTCCGCAGTGATTCAGTTAACTTCGGCACAGACGCTTGGGAGTTACCCACTAAAAAAAACTCAAGAATGTAGCACTCTGCGTCTGCAGTTCTAATCGACCCCAAGATGCTACAGCTTCGACACAGAGCAGACAGCAGACTACGACTGCATCCAGCTACAACGTTCTCACTCCCCATCGAGTTTAGACACTCACGATTTCCCATCGAGCCGCCACGCTCACCCGCATAGAGCTCTGCGACTATGGCCTCATTCAGCTCTCTGCTCTGCTTCAAGCTCCGTCTCAACGTCTACGACACTGCTGTATCCAAGACTACTAAATAAATACGAAACCCCACTAAACACTGTATCTAATCTACCCAACAATGTAACATAATCGTATGTTACAAAAGAAAACCTGGGGAAGGGTGTGTGGGAGGGAACAGGGAGGGTGTGTATTCACCTAGTAGTGCTTGTGGGGGTTGAGCTCTGCTCATTTCGGCCCGCCTCTAAACTGTCAGTCAATCAACTGTTACTAACTACTAATTAATTTTTTTTAACCCCCCCCCAGGAAGCAGCCGTAACAGGTGTCTAACTCCCAGGTACCTATTTACTGCTAGGTAACAGGAGCATCAGGGTGAAAAAACTGCCCATTTGTCTCTGCCTAGTCCAAGAATCAAACCCGGCCACAGGATTATGAGTCCCGCGCGCTGTCCACTCAGCTATCAGACCCCCGTGTGTGGTGAGAGATGGGAAAGACGTGTGCAGGGAAAGGAGGGGTGTTTGTGTGTGTGTGGCCTGACTCTCTACACCTATTTTCATTTTCAAATTACGACTTTTTATACCGAAAATATGCCAATTACTGAAAACGGCGAGGGGTCATATTTTGCCCAAACCCCCCTGCAGTTTTCAAAATATCTGTAATGTCGGAAATTTGACTCCTGGGTGTGATTTTTGAGCCAAATTCTGACTCTCTGCACCTATTTTCATTTTCAAATTACGACTTTTTATACCGAAAATATGCCAATTTTTGAAAACGGCGGGGGGTCATATTTTGCCTAAACCCCCCTACAGTTTTCAAAATATCTGAAATGTCAGAAATTTTACTCCTAAGCGTGATTTTTGAGCCGAATTCTGACTCTCTGCACCTATTTTCATTTTCAAATTACGAATTTTTATACGGAAAATATGCCAATTACTGAAAACGGCGATGGGTCATATTTTGCCCAAACCCCCCTGCAGTTTTCAAAATATCTGAAATGTCGGAAATTTGACTCCTGAGTGTGATTTTTGAGCCGAATTCTGACTCTCTGCACCTATTTTCATTTTCAAATTACGACATTTTATACCGAAAATATGGAAATTACTGAAAACTGCAAAGGGTCATATTTTGCCCAAACCCCCCTACAGTTTTCAAAATATCTGAAATGTCGGAAATTTGACTCCTGAGTGTGATTTTTGAGCCGAATTCTGACTCTCTGCACCTATTTTCAATTTCAAATTACGACTTTTTATACCGAAAATATGCCAATTACTGAAAACGGCGATGGGTCATATTTTGCCCAAATCCCCCTGCAGTTTTCAAAATATCTGTAATGTCGGAAATTTGACTCCTGGGTGTGATTTTTGAGCCGAATTCTGACTCTCTGCACCTATTTTCATTTTCAAATTACGACTTTTTATACCGAAAATATGCCAATTACTGAAAACGGCGAGGGGTCATATTTTGCCCAAACCCCCCTGCAGTTTTCAAAATATCTGAAATGTCAGAAATTTTACTCCTGAGCGTGATTTTTAAGCCGAATTCTGACTCTCTGCACCTATTTTCATTTTCAAATTACGACATTTTATACCGAAAATATGCCAATTACTGAAAACGGCGATGGGTCATATTTTGCCCAAACCCCCCTGCAGTTTTAAAAATATCTGAAATGTAGGAAATTTGACTCCTGAGTGTGATTTTTGAGCCGAATTCTGACTCCCTGCACCTATTTTCATTTTCAAATTACGACATTTTATACCGAAAATATGGAAATTACTAAAAACGGCAACCTACCTTGAGGCTACCTTGAGGTGCTTCCGGGGCTTAGTGTCCCTGCGGCCCGGTCGTCGACCAGGCCTCCTGGTTGCTGGACTGATCAACCAGGCTGTTAGACGCGGCTGCTCGCAGCCTGACGATGGGAAGGGTCATATTTTGCCCAAACCCCCCTGCAGTTTTCAAAATATCTGAAATGTCGGAAATTTGACTCCTGAGTGTGATTTTTGAGCCGAATTCTGATTCTCTGCACCTATTTTCATTTTCAAATTACGACTTTTTATACCGAAAATATGCCAATTACTGAAAACGGCGATGGGTCATATTTTGCCAAACCCCCCTGCAGTTTTCAAAATATCTGAAATGTTGGAAATTTGACTCCTGAGCGTGGTTTTTGAGCCGAATTCTGACAGTGTGGATGTTTGTGTGGAAAGACATGGAAAGTATATGTTGGAGTTGGAGAGTCGAGTGGAGGAGACCCCCCATACACACATGGACCTCTGGACCAAAGAGCCAGAGCTTTCACATATTTTGCCCGAAACGCTATGCGTATTAGTGGCTTTAGGTATTGTATGTACTAGCTCTATCTATAAATCCAACATTATGTTTGTAACTCATCTTCTATGTATGTACTTTTTACCTGAATAAACACTTGAATTTGAATTTGAATATACATACACAGATATACATAGCGAGAAAGAGAGAAGGCGATAGATAGATAGATAGATAGATAGATAGATAGATAGATAGATAGATAGATAGATAGATAGATAGATAGATAGATAGATAGATAGATAGATAGAGACATTGAGAGATAAAGAGATTGAGCGAGCTTGCGATCATCTGTAATGCGATCGTTGTTGATGGGTGATCTGAACAGTCAGTATAAACACATCCTCCTGTCGCCCTTCAGGTTATTTATAGAAGAGGTGATTGTTTAAAAACAAGAGTGATAAGTCAAAAATCCTGTGCATCATTGTCGTATCTCCATCCTTCCTCTCGACACTGTCCCACATAATTTTCTTTTTTCCTACTAATCATCCTTGAAGAATTCGTCCTTTAACTATATTATGGTATGGCTAAAGGAGGTAAACAAAATACATTTTAACCAGAATAACTTAAAAATGCAGAAATAGAGACTATTTGTATTTTAATGGATGTTGTATTTTGCAATTTTGTTATTACTATAAGTGTAGGAGAGGGTGTGGTGGTGGGGGATCATTGGGACAAGAAGGGTGTTAGTGTGCGCCTCGGGCTAGCTTCCATGCGCCTTCCCTGCCACTAATGCGATGCTCCTCTGTCATCTTTCACTGTTGACGGAATGCATCTGTGTCAGTTTCTATTCACAGCACAGACAGGTGTGAGGTGGACGCAAACAAGTCGGAAAATACTCATGTCACTCACCATTGCCACTTGAGGTTGAGGATCTAGGCACCTGTGAAGGCGTGAGAGGCTGTAAGATGTCTGAGGACCACGGGAGCTTGACGCTTAGTGACGAGGACAGTGAGGAAGACCTCCACTACCTCCATTACGCCCATGCCAGGCAACCCACTGAACTGCAGGTGAGCCATGCCAGCCTCCGCCCACCCCGCGTGACACTTGGCCACCCTGCATGACACCTCTTCATAAACTGCTCTATACAGCAATGGTCTTGCTTCAGTCAGAGTCTTACGTTTCATTCCTGAAGGTTCAAGGAGTTGGGTACTGTTCCTTGGCTCTGGTTCTCATCCCAGTTGTTAGTGTGGCTTCTTATGCACTGGTTGACTTATGGGCGACGATTCATATGCACTTCCAAGCACTATATAACCACTCTGGCTTAGCATTTTTGTATAACCTTGCCTTGCCTGCATGAGACTTGGGTCTGATATACATTTCAATTGGGAAGTGTCATCCCCAGCTTCCATATCAAACAAGATTTCAACAATAGTCAACTATTGTGTACTTTCCTAATGTTGAGTCATGCATTATTAACTATGAATACATAGAAAAAAAGTGTTTGAATAAAATCCAACGATTGAACTTTGTTGTATTGTTTACCTGTAGTTGTTTTCAAATTCAAATGTTTATTCAGGTAAAGTACATACATACAAGGGGTGATACAAATATGGCTGAATTTATAGATAGAGCTAGTACATGCAATGCATTTTGTGAGAGCTGTTCATCGAGCCCAGCCTGTGGCCAATCTTCTCTAGTGTTAACTGATTTATAATACACAAAATCATATTCTGGCCATCATAGCTAATGATGGGTTGAGAGTCATTTTGACTATGTCCTGTTTTTCACTAGTTGGTTCGCTCCGCCTGGAGAAATGTTTTACCTCGCCTCTATTTAGTTTGTGGCTTATGTATCATTCTCACTAGTAAATCATACATTTATCAGATCACAAAATACATAAATACTGTATGGTGACTTTTATGTAATTTAATTGGAGGAGTATTATTATTAAAGAGAAACAAAGTACAGTAGATGGTAACTTGAAGGGATGAGCATGGTTTCATTTCAAGAGTTCTGACAACTTGTGACACATCATAGACTGCCTTACATGTAGGATATATTATACATTCATCTACTGTAATTGTTGTCCTCAGAATTATCCTTTTAGCCAGAGCGTTGGACTAAGAAGTCTAATGTCAGGATTTCCTGAGCTTTATACAGCCCCCTAATAGAAATAGAAAATAGACAATTAGGTAGACAATGTCATGTTGGACTATATACCTAACAACTGCACCAGTAATGTAATGCATCAGCAACCTGCATTAAAGTATTATTAATGACAGTATTTACTGCATTTAAAGGGATTCAGTCCACATCATACAGGAGATAGTAACATTTTGCTGTTTCTTTCAATTCAATTATTACTTTGAATTTGTGTTTTAATTATAGAAGAATGTTCCTTCTGATGGTCATTCAGGACTAGATTGATAATTTTCCACTAGCTTTCCTTACCTCATAAATAACCTGGCATGGTTTTTTGGAGAGAAATGCATTGCATTGAGATCATAAGGTCGTACACTGTAATGAACCTGGTTGAAAACTGCAATGTTGCTAGAAGAGTAGGATACTGTATTATCGAAGGGCTTGATCAAATGACCTTCTCGGTAAGAAGTTTTTCTGTTACTCATATTTCTTATTTGTTCATATCTTCAACGTAGGGAAATGCTAAGTATTAGTGTGATACATGTATTAAGGAAGCTACTAACATCTTCGTATTGTTGATAATTAATAACCTATATGATGTACCTCTTTTGTAAAAATTAAATAATTTGCTTGACTTATGTCTGATGCAGGGACAAATAATTTTAATTTGGATGATTGGGTCCTAGAGAGAGTGGTAAGTGCTCCCACCATCTTTATTATAATTTTATTTCAAAATTTTAAACTAGCTTTGGTTGGCCTAAACAACTTGAATCTGTGTTTACAGGCTTCACTGAGTGTCAGGAGTGTATCCTTGAAAACATGAAGTGGAACAGGTGCAGGTGGTGGAAGAACAGCTTTTATTCGTGAAAGGACTGTTTTAGCCAGATTGAGCCTCTGAGGAATTTAGTTAATACAGGTCAAGCTATATAATAGATTCAGTTTAATTAAGTTTTCTGCAGTTTTTGCTTTTTAATTTTTAACATATTGTTTGTACTATGCACAATAAAAAGGATTATTTGTTTCTTGTTTTAGAAGCATATGAGTGACTTGAGCAACAAATGCCTTTTTATGCAAAGCTATGTACAGTATTTTATATGCAGAGGTGGCCTAATCACCCTAAACCATTAGAAATAGGCCACCATAATAATTTGCATGGCAAATGTTTAATGATTTGTCTAAACTGCCACAACATATATATTGCAATAGCATAGATCTGCACAGTGCTATAACTATAATAAAATCTAATTACTGTATTTAAAGTCCACTATTTCATGTACAGCACCTTAAAAAAATCTCCAAATCTGGGACCAAATTACCTCATCTCACAATAAATACTTATAGAAAACCGTATATATATATATATATATATATATATATACCTGCACTTAGGCATGTGTGCATTGATATGTATTGTGAGCAAAATAAATGGAAAAATGTGATTAATGGAAAAAAAATATATATATATAAGGCATACACAAACTGTGAATGCATACACATACTGTGTGTGTGGAAGAAACAAAATTTTTTCAATTGTATGCATGTTTCTGGAGGTTGACTTTGAAATTGCGATGTAAACAAAAAACATGTCACTACATGTTATCAGTGCATGAGTCTATAAATACTGTTTTTATTTGGAAGTAAGCATTAAGACTGAAGATGGTAACCAATTGCTCTTCACAATTGCAAATATTTTTTTTTAACTTGCTTTCTGGCTACAACCCGTCCTCAGACCAAGTCCATTCCATCCAGAGCTCGACCCCAAAGACAGTCAACAATTTTAACATGCTTTTCATTCAAAATAGGAATTGTCTCAAATATAAATTAATGTTGTTATATATTAGCATACTATACAGATTTAGGCATTGGTTAGGTTAGGTTACGTGTTTAGGTTCTGTTGGCGATTATTTGTATTTGTAGTACGTGGGTGAAGCATTTACAGCGTTGTGGTTTAAACAAAAGTGGTCAGCAAAGCACATGTTCTGGAAGTGTTCGGACGTCATCAGTTGTGAGTCGTGTGTAAAAGGTTTTTCCTTCATAAATGGGGTTTGGCGGGTGATTGGAATGGACTTTGGCCTTTGTTTAAGAGGACAGGCTACTGGCTAACATATAGGAATTTAACACAGTATTATTTTTGTTACGTTAAATGTGCATTTTCATTTTTCTTCTAAGCCTTTAGGCCTTTTTTTTAACATTGCTTTTACATTAATGCTGTTTTAGCCATTCCATATACTGTATTCCTGTGCATTTCATATTTTAAAAGTACTGTATGGCCCACTTACATCTGGTCATTTTGATACAGTACTGTGATTCAAAATATTTACAGAATGTTTTAAGTTACCTGTATACAGTACTATAATATTTGCCTTTTCATAGTTATGAAAAACATGCTCTATATTATTTGTAATATTCAGTAATTTTATTTCCAATTCATTAATGAACAGAATTATCAGTGTAATATAATTTCACTCATCTGTGTCATCATTCCAACATGCCATTATCCACGTGTACACTTACCCTATTTCTCCGCTATGGCCATAAATTATCACTCCTCCTCCAGTCTCTGGATGCCGCACCATCAATAGTAATTATATACTTTTTCCTAACATGTTGAACTCTGTTCATTCTTCTCATTTCAAAGCACATTAAAAAATCAATTTTGCCACTTAACCCCACTAATGGGGCAGTGGTGACACATATCGGTAACTTGTACAACAACTGACTGTTAAAAAAGAAAAGAAAATAGTAAAAAAGCTATTAGTTAAAGAAATACAAATAAAATTGTTTGGGGGAGGCACATTAACTATACAATCTATGCAATTTAATAACCAATTTATTACATATAGTACTGTATTTTCAACATAAATTATTATAATGATACACAGTACACTACTAATTTGTACACTTGCCAAATAGTTGCTCTATCCTAATGTATGGTATGTATGATTCATACCAGTCCATTAAAAATTGGTTGAATCCTTCAGCACCTTTGAAACACTGTACAGTATTTTCAAACTTCTAAAGGCTCCTGCTTTCTCTGAACAGTACAGTATTTCAGAATTTTACCCTGATTTCTCGGCCTATCTTTCTCTGTCTTTGTTTAAATTATTTCATAGATATTTTAATGTTAAAATGTATGCTTAGCTTCTGTACATTATTTATATCATGCACTGAAGTCTCTCTTCTGCAAAATATCACATATATATATCTTTATCTTCTTTCACTACTGTATTATATTCTATCAGATTTATTCATAATAACTGGACCTCCTCTTGTTGTTTTGCACATGAGAGCAGTCATCAGTGCTTATTTCCATGCTTAAGTTACAAGCTGTGATCCAGTTAACTGATTTGTCGGTACGTAATATTCAACAGTTACTCAATTATATTAGCAAATTAAAATAAAACTATGTCAGTCAAGTTTTAATAATATGCAATAGTTAACTTTTAAAATTGTTACAGGGCACTGTATCAAAATGGACAAACTATATCCATGGATGGCAAAATCGATATATGGTGCTGAAAGATGGCACCATGAGTTACTACAGGAATCACGACGAAACACCATTTGGTTGTCGAGGTTCCATAAGTGTTCAGAAAGCCCATGTCAAGGTAAGTTGCATTAAATAGGAAACTGTTATATTGTTTAAGGTTTTATCTTGTTACATGTAGCACAGTATAATACATTACTGTAGTAACTTATTGGCTTTAGAGTTTATCTAGAGTTAGTCTTAGGGCAGTGAGAGTTTAACAGACTTCAAAAATGTACGAATGAGATATTTCTGCACAATAAAATTGCAGGAGCATGGTGTACTGTATCAAAGAAAATATTGAGGCTCCATGGCGCAGTGTGTTACGAACCCTTTGTAACCGGGTTCTCTTTAAACTCTGATCCTGCTCAAGTTCAGAGGACCCTAACCTTGGTGGGAATATAGTGTAATGTTTAAGATAAATAAAAATAATAGCACTCAAAAGTACCAGTTATTATCACCAATTATATTTACAAGTCTCTGTCAGGTCATCCAGAGCAGCATCACTAGCCCTCATGCTAGCTAGCTTCACAGATGATGGACACTATATGCCTCTGACGAGGTTTTCAATGCGCCACTAGCCCTTACGCTAGCTGCAATTATGGAGACGTCTTCAAATGCTTCCTCTCCTTAGCGCACTTGCTAGTACGCTCAACCAGCAAAGTCCACAGCGCTCAAGTAGCCTACACTGGCTAGCACCTTCAGGTTGACCTAAGTACTCCTCCACTCTCCTAGCTTCATTGACTTACATTGCCTGTCCCTGGTGTTACGGAAAAAGTGGATGAATGGAGCAGTGGCTATTCTGGCTGGTGTAATGCCAATAACATTAAATAAAAAAAGTATAACAAAGTAAATAAAACTGCTTCCGAGCTCTTTACGGTGTGAGAGCTGCGGAATAAAGTGCAAAGAATTAAAAACTTTAAATACTTACTAAAAAATGACTAACAAATAAAACAAATCCTCTATGATACTTGATGTTACACAAACAAAAATGCAAGAGAAACAAGCATGTGACAGTTACGTTAATATTAAAGAAAAGGTGCACAACAAATATATGCAATAGCTGCTGGAGACTACCGACATCCAGGGGGAGCGAGAGTAGATCTTGCAGCTTGGAGCACTGAAGGGTATTCTGAGGTCTAGCTGGTGGTGAGCTGCTACACGGCTGAGCCCGTGTAGGTGGCGCTGAAGTGCAGGTAATTGCTAGCCGGCAGTCTCAAACGAGCCAGTAGGCTTGTTGACCAGCGAGTGGAGCTGGCCCCCAGACAGCAGGTGAGCAGGTATGTCAGATACTTGAGGGGGGAGGGTTTTGGTGGTGTCTGTCTAGACATAGCTTCTGAGCATGTATTGTTGTCTGATCTTGATGTTAATTTCTTACACTTGAGTAGGCAGATATGCTGTTGAATAGGTGGTAAAGGAATGGGCAGAATCTCCTTGCCTAAGCAAGGAATTTCCGTAACACTGGTTACTCGTCATCTTCCAGCACAGCAGACTAGAAGATGGGGAAACTAAAATTAATGGGAGGGTTAACTGTTATAGTTCGACACCTGGATTGTAGACGGCGCTGAGGCCCGTCACACAGTGGTAAAGCGCTTGGCGAGTGCTTTAGCCTGGGTACGTATACTGGCCAGGGAGGATTGACTGGGTGCCAATCCTTAACTGTCGCCTCTGTTTACCCAGCAGTGAATGGGTACCTGGTTAAGCGATTTGGCGGGTCGTATTCCGGGGAAAATTATGATTGAGGAGGACCTGCCCGAAACTCTATGGGTGCTAGCGGCTTTACAAGAATGTAAGAACTCTTGTATACAGTTTATAAATAAATAAAATAAAAGTCCGTGGTGAGTGTGCCTAGGGAGTCTAGGGAGGTGTTTCATCCCATTCCATCCCATCAATATTTGTTCATGTGTTCTTGATTGTTTCATTTGCCATTCAATTTGGTGAAATTTATTTGTAATTATGTATTTGTCACTCTACAATGGGCATATTTGAAGGCATCTAGTTACAAGAACACACACACAGCTGGAATTCAGGAGAGGAACTGTAAGAAACAGTGCTCTCCAGCTTTTTGGATTAACAAATCTATAAAGTAGTGGTACAGTAGATTACCCTGATTGATCAACCAATCAGGGTAATCAACTTCTACACTGTAATATTGTAATAGAGTACATTTATTGAATATTGGATTTTTTTAAATTATGCCTGTGCTTTTTTGGTGTCATGATCCAATTAAAAGGGGTACAAGTGAGTTGAATGTCTAAAACTAGCTGAGGGAGTTTAATTGCATTGCTCTTGCATAGTGTGTAATTACCTAAGTAATTACCTAAGTGTAGTTGTGTCCTGTCTCCCCAGCACACTTTTCATATAACGCTTTGAAATTACTGACGGTCTTGGCCTCCACCACCTTCTCACCTAAGTTGTTCCAATCATCTACCACTCTGTTTACAAAAGTGAATTTTCTTATATTTCTCTGGCAGCTTTGTTTTGTTAGTTTAAATCTATGTCCTCTTATTTTTGAAGCTCCAGGTCTCAGGAATTCTTCCTTATCAATTTTATTGATTCCTATTACTATTTTGTACGCAGTGATCATATCGCCTCTCTTTCTTCTATCTTCTAGTGTTTGCATATTTAATGCCTTTAATCTCTCCTTGAAGATCTTTTGTCCTTCAGTTCTGGGAGCCACTAAGTGGCATGTCTTTGCACCTTTTCCAGTTTGTTGATGTCCTTAAGATATGGGCACCATACAACGACTGCATATTCCAGCTTTGGTCTAACAAAAGTTGTGAACAATTTCTTTAGTATTTCTCCATCCATGTATTTAAAAGCAATTCTGAAGTTAGAAAGTGTAGCGCACACACGTTGTTCTTAATGTGGTTCTCAGGTGACGGTTTTCTATCTAGAACCACCCCTAGAGCTCTTTCTTTGTCAGAATTTTTTAAAGATTTTTCACATAATTTATAGGTTGTGTGGGGTCCATGTTCTCCAATTCCACATTTTATAACATGGCATTTATTCACATTAAATTCCACTTGCCAAGTGGTGCTCCATATACTTGTTTTGTCCAGGTCTTCTTGAAGGGCATGACAATCATCTAAGTTTCTTATCTTCCCTATTATCTTAGCATCATCAGCAAACATGTTCATATAATTATGTATTCCAAGTGATAGATCGTTTATGTAGACAATGAACATTACCGGTGCAAGAACTGAACCCCCTGAGGTATTCCACTTGTGACATTCCTCTTATCCGATACATTGCCTCTGATTACGGCCTTCATTTTTCTATTAGGAAAAATGTTTCATCCATGTTAGAAGCTTACCTGTCACCCCTCCAATATGTTCCAGTTTCCAGAACAACCTCTTATGTGGGACTGTCAAAAGCCTTTTTTTTGGGGTCCAGATAGATGCAGTCAGCCCAACCATCTCTTTCCTGTAATATCTCTGTGGCTCGATCATAGAAACTTGAGTAAATTCACTACACAGGATCTTCCAGATCGAAAATCATACTGTCTGTCTGATATTATATCGTTTTTCTCCAAGTGTTCTACCCATTTAGTTTTGACTATTTTTCCAATATTTTGACAATTACACTTGTTAATGATACAGGTCCATAATTGAGGAGGGTCTTCCCTGCTGCCACTTTTGTAGATTGCAACTTTGTTAGCCAATGTGTGTGTGGGGGGGGGGGGGGAGTTGGTGTTTATGACTGGTGATGTGGTAGGTGTTGTCTGGACAAGAGAGGGGGGGGGGTTAGTGGAGGGGGGAGGGGCAGTGTTTTGAGTGTTGGTGGCTGGGTGTTTGTGGTCATTACTAGATCCTTAAATATTTGGTTCACATTAAAGGTGCACATTGTTAAGGCTTGGAATGAAAAATAGGAAACTTAGAATAAACAGCAAAGATTAAAATTTGATTTTTCATGGTTTATTGTGTAATTATTGAAGTATATGTGCTATATTTCATCCACTGTGAATGGTAATGAAATAATGTTTACACAGTTGCAGACACCTGACTTAGTGTTGGTGCTTCTCACATGACATGTGGAACTTGAAACATGTGACCATGACTTAGCTCCTACAGTTTCCAAGTCAGCTGCACACTGTATAATACTGTATATATAATTAGTTCAGATGCTAGTTTCACTGTTGTTACAATGTTAATGCATAACTAATGTGGGAGATTTAATTAATTTCAACCTAGATTCCTATTGTACAGTACTGCACTTGAAAAAAAAATTATGATTTGAAACAAGGATACTCTGATGAAAGAGTTGCCAGTCATGATTTTTGTTATCTGGTTTGACTGAAGGATATTGTTGAGGGTAAGTGAATCATATGGTTTTGTGTGAAGGGTTGATTGTGAAATGCTGGTTTAAGTACAGTGATGTATCATTTGCAGTTTTGGTCCATATTTTCTGATACAGATGTGAATGCCAGGTTTATTCTTTTATGATGTTTACTGAGTGAAACCTAATGTAGAATTCTCTTAGTGATACTTTTTTGCATGTCTTTTTTCATGGACACAGTTGTGACTTGGAAGTGAGACAATAGACACCTGCTTCAGGTCATTTATTTTTGTAAGTGAGAGTAACTTGCATTTTTTTATTTTTTTATCAAGATTTATTTACAGTAGTACTGTATAATGATATTTTTGCAATCCGTCTTGACTTCAGTCAATGCGTATTCATTCCTTAAACTGTGTAGATTTTCCCCTTTTTTAATGTCAACAAGTGGGTGATTAAGATGGTCAAACTAGAGTTATTTCATAATTGCTAGAATAGCTTTAGAAGTACAATTGGGTGATGTGAATGAAAGCATGTAGGATTAAAACTATTATAATTTAAAATAAATATTAAATTTAATACTATTTTATTATAAATTAAATTATTGGAGAGAGTCATTCACGCACTAATACTTCTTTAACCCTTCGGCTGCAAATCTCATCATATGATGAGGTTCTTAAATATGTTCACTGTGCATCACACCATATGATGAAGTAGGGAACTACCTAAAATTTAAGTCTTTTACATATGGCTCAGTGTCTTCCTCAGGCCAACAGGAACATGGCCCCATTTTGAAAAAAAAAGTGAGTCCCTCACTTTCCTTCTAGGGCCTTAGTTAAAAAATGAGGACCATATCTGGCAAGATCACCATCCAGTGTGTGAACGTGCAAGGCGACCATACTAGGAGCCACTCAACATTTTATCAATAGAAAATGAGTGATTGCCATTACATATTTCAGGCAAAATGTGTGCCATGTCCAAGTATGAGATTTAGGCTTGTATATATACGTACATATATATGTAAGCCATGTACCTTGGCTTATGAATGTCCCTCTACAAATTTTTCTGGTTACGAGCCCAATTTCTTTGTAAAATTTGATTCGGGTTACGAGCTTTGCTCCGAGTTATGTAGTTTGTTGATAAGCATATGGACGACCTAGCGCATGGTTCCTGGTGACATGGTCACCTGCACTTCAGTTTACCAGTGCCTCCTAATAAGTGACGATTGTGCTTGAATTCTTTGTAAAGAATGTGTTTTTCTGATTTTTGCATTTTGAACATAAAGGTAATTATTATATATCACACCATGGGTTCCAAGAAAGTCAGTGGTAAGGTGGCCTCTCCATTTACGAATTTAATCCGTTCTCAGAGATGGTTTGTAACCCAAAAATTTGCAACCCGAAACTAATTTTTCCATAACAAATACAGTAACGTAAATTGAATTAATTCGTTCCGCATTTCCAAAAATATTAACTTCAAAATGCATTTCAAACATAATAAACACAAATATTTAGTACTATAATATGTACAAGTTATAGCTTATCTTTATTGATGAGTCTTGTTGGCGTATGGAAGACGGTGAGGAGTGGGGGAGGAGGAACGGTGTTAGTGTTTGGAAGTGTGTACGAACAGACATGTATGAACAGACGTCGTCTTCCAAGTAAATCGTCGTACATCAAATCAAATTTTATGATGAATTTGACATCGTCAACCAAAAAATTTGTCATCTAGGGCAATCGTCAACTGAGGTTCCACTGTATACTGTATATATATATTTACATACAGTATATATATATTATTGAATATGACCGGATCGGTAAGAGTAATGGCTCTAACACGAATCTTTTCAATATTTCTGTTTTTCTTCACTGTCTTGGGAAGTCAAAAATGAACTCTTCAAAGTTCATTTTCACACTTATTTTTGGTTTGACACCTAGGGATGAGTTTTGCAAAGTCACTCCTTACATTCTCAAAGACTGATTTACTATGCTTTTGCACAGGCTTATATTATCTTTGGGTGGAGTTGTACAGAACAAGTGGATGAATGGCATAACATAGGGGATATTGATAGGGTATTACATGCATTGATATAAACAGCTTATGTTCTTACGGTTGCTTGTGTTTCTAAGGCAGGGTCATGGGCTGTCTCTGCGTTGGCTCGGGGTCTTGAAGTAGGTTGAATGTAATTATGTGTTAACTGTTTGTTGATTGCTGGTCTTGACTTTTTGATGTGTAGCGCCTCACTGATGTCCAGTCTTCTGCTGTAGTTATACCTGTCAATTTTTTCAGTGTTGCTTGTTAAGATATCTCTGGTGATGGTCTGGTTATGTGAGATTATCATATGCTCCTTGATGAAGCAACAGGGCTCCATCAAGGAGCCCAACCTACTTATGAAGAACTCTCCAGACAGCAAACAAAATGCTTTAAGAGAGAGACCAATGTCTTTTATGCCTTCACATGCCCACTTTGGGACTGTCAGCCCCAAATATCTCGGTTTATAGGCAAGACAACGCTTCTCTCTAGGTGATTAACAAATGCACAAGCAACAGGGCTCCATCAAGGAGCATATAATCTCCTCACACAACCAGACCATCACCAGAGACATCTTAATGCAATAATTTTGTGCAGCAGCAGCAGCAGCAGCAGCAGCTGTTAGATGATGAGAGTTCTCTTCAATTGATTAAGAAACTTCTGCTGCTAGCTCTGAAGAACATGATTTTTTTTTTTTTTTGAGATATATACAAGAGTTGTTACATTCTTGTAATTAATAAATTGCTCATTAAGGAGAGAGCAGGAGAAACACCCTAGCAATATGGAAAATGGAGAAAGACTGGAAGTACAAGATTTAATCTTGCTATATTTAACATGTGTTTTGAGTTGAAAGCTGCTCCATTTACTGTTAGAATATTTTACACTAGAACACATCATTTCCTTACAAAGTGTAAGGAGTTTATTTGTGAAATGTGACAACAGAATTTGAACAAGACTGTAAGATAAGCAGATTTGGATTTTGTAAATACAGTATGTTTGTTTATTATTCATATACAGCATTTTAATACAATTTTTGTCCATTCTTTCTTCATAGAATATGGTAAATTTTGCAGTTCAGAATTTTGGCAGTTACATAAAATTAATTTACTGTTTAGCTGTAAACAAAATTAAGAGAGTGTGTGTGTGTCTGGTTCAGAAATTATTATTTTTTTTTACTGGTACTTACAGCCCCATGAAATAGACGAGTGTCGTTTTGATGTGTGTTTGAATGACTGCGTGTGGTACTTGCGGACCAACACTGAGGAGGAGAAGCACCAGTGGGTCGATGCCATTGAACAGCACAAGGTAAGAGGACTTCCTTAAATGTCACATTAATGAATGAATATGATAATGTTAATTACATACTATTTTATTAATATACGGTTCAATATATATAACTAATACTAGGGTCAGTTTTTGTTATGGTTGGAAAATATCATTGTACAGAATATATGGTAAATTAAAAGAAAATGAAAATCCAGTAGAAATTATTAAGATTTGGCAATTTATCTAGTTTTTTTAATATTGTTGTATGCTTTGTTGAAACATATTGTACACTGAAGATCATACATATTCTGTACAATATTTCCTACTAGTTAATACAGTATAAGCATCTTAACTAGTAGGAAAAGGAGTACACAAATTTTCTTTTATTTTCACTTCTGTTGCAAGTTGTGGGGAAATGAAATTAAATGATTAGGAAGGCCATATTTCTGTTTCCATGTTATTTTCTAAGACTAAGTATGTAGTGGGCCTATGTAAGAATGACCATGAATATTACTTCCCTCGAGTACCTGGAGAGCGAAGGTCTTCGGCGGCATGGCAGTACTATTTCGCTCACCTCCAATACCTTATCCACTACATCTGGCTCTTCACTTAAGAAATCAAAAGGTTAGTAACTATAAGGTCTGATGGCTCATATTATCTTCCTGCCATCAGATATAATATATTTAATATTAAAAATTATTCATAAAATAATTAACAATCATAATGCCTTGTTGTTCCTTATATGGACCAATAGGACTTCTGCAGTGTCATATAATTGTGTGTTTTTGTTAAAAAGCTGCACTGTATGTGACTTATAATAATGATTATTTAATATTAATGCTCTCATATGCATATTACTTTCATTTGCTGTGTTGAAATGAAGTTGTATGCCAGATAAGGGTTTTTATGCATCATAGCATTATAAAGATAAACTAGCATTGTCTTTTCTTTTATATTCTCTGATATTTATGTTTCTAGGACTGAAAGAGAAACTGGCAGAACTGGAGACATACCGAGATATTTTGTTGCGTCAGATGGACACCTTGCAGTCGTATTTTGATGCTTGTGCTGAAACTGTCAAGGATGGAAAGACTACTGAACCCACATGTAAGTGTAGTTGTATTTACTAGACTTAGACATTATATAAGTACAGTGGAACCTTGAGTGATGAGTGACTCCAGTTATGAGCATTTCAAGTTACGAGCAAGCCACTCGCAGAAAATTTCTCGACTGACGAGCTTTCGCTCGATTAATGCGAGTTCCTGCTGGTTCTCGGACACCTCCGCGACGACAGTGTTGTTGTTGTTTCACAAAACGAGTTTTCCACATGACGAGCTCGGTGCCGGAACGGATTAAATTCATTAATCGAGGCGCTACTGTACTATATTTGTAATGTAAGTACTTCATTGTCTTATTTTTCGTTCCTTTCATGATGTCCCTCCACTTCATTTTTAGTCGAATTTCCATACCCAAAGTTTAAGGCCATGGGACTCTTCCCTCTCCCTCTTCTTTCCCTATTTAATGTTTAATTTGATATTTTTGAACTCGCGTGTGGCTAGGTTTTTTCGGAATGTATCCATCGTGGAAATGTTTCATGTGTTGGGGTTTATATTGAGATAACATGAGCATCACACCCACTCATGATGCAAAGGTTATTATTATTATGGAGGTCATATACACTTCACCCTCAAAAATCCAGTCCATTCAGTATATCTGAATAAATTGGATATCTGAATAATTACTTTTACACTATTTGCCTCCAAATTTTTCAGATTTTTCTTTTAGTAAATGGATATAATACATAGATCAGCATTCAGTATTTAGATACATGTATAACAAATAACAAATATATAAATAATTATTTTGAGTGCATAAAAAATAGTAATTAAAATATTACGAATTTGTTCACTTGCTCTTCTGAAGCACATGTTGATCTGGTAAGCTCTGGGGAGCCTCAGGGACTCGCCCAGAAAATGGCATTTCATTACATTTAATGCTGGTTTTATTTCTTTTAGAACTGTTGAGTATTATAATGAAAAATACTGTACAAGTGTTGAATAAATTAAATGTTACTCATGCTTGAAAAAATTTATCAAAGGTAATGGCCATGAACCAGAGCACGATGGCATGATAGAAGTAGGTGTGGCTGCTGAATGTGGCCTCGGAGAATCTCCTAATGCTGGGGGCAGGAAGTTTTCCCCTCTTCACCTTCCGCATTCTCATGTTAGTAAAGAAACTCTACAAAAACATGGGGCTTATGCATTGGATTTCCGTGGAGAAGCACTCACTTTCAAGGTAAGTTGGATGGTACAGTACATTAATTCATTTCTCAAGATGATAATTAGTTGTGTTGGCCAAAAAAATATTTAGTAAGACAATTGTGCGAGTACACACAAAGATTGCATTCTGATTGTCTGAAGGAAGAAATCAAGACGCATGGTTATATAAAGTAGATTTGACAATAATCCCTACATTAACTGCTTCTTCCCAGCCCAGTTTGTAACTGAAATGCTGAGCAATGATACATTTAATACACTTATAATTTTAATTCTGCAAAATATTGATATAGCATGTCTAAATTATCCTGTATATAAATTAGGGTAATATGGTGTTACTGTAGATCATAAACTTTTGTCACTCCTCTCTCTCTCTCTCTCTCTCTCTCTCTCTCTCTCTGCAATAGTCAAATTTTAACAATAGTCAACAGATACCCAGGGTCAAGCCTGGCCCCGGGGCGAGCTTGCGGAGTAGAAGAACTTCCAGAAACATATCCAGGCACATAACCGTTTCCTGAGTCATCAGACTTTCCCCAGGGCTTTGATTTTTTGTTTTTAAATCTTGTAATCTTTATCCAGACTTATGGCCTTCAGAACAGGAGTTAAGACCTAGTAGCTGCTGTTGTCTGATAGAGAAGAAAAGAGGTTTGCTAGTTATGTCCCTTATATTTATATAAAATGCTTTTTCTTACTAGAAATAAAAAAATGAAACTCAAATTAGTATAAGGGAAATGAGGGTAAATTAATGATGGTATTTTATGACTAAAATATTGTACATCAAATTCCTTGGATACTTATTGATTATATTGTGAATGATATTCTGTCTTTGAAAAACTTGTTATAATAAGTACTGTACTTAAACCACAAAGCTGCTTTGGATAGAAATGTGATACACTTTCTCCTCCTAAACTGGTATTTTTAATGGGTGAGATCAAAAGCTGAAATCTTTTCTTCCTAGAAAAAATACAATAAAAGTTTGAAAATCAAATACAGTACCTGCACTGTATTTATTTTTAAACCCCATTTAGGTATTGGGAAAGAGCTGGTGCAAAACTAGAATGAAATTGTTAATATAGTGCAGTATGTACATTCTCCATTTTAGGATTACTGTAAAAATGAATAGTTGCTAGTCGTGTTGGCTGAATTCTTCAAATAACAGTTTAAAGCATTTGTTCTAGGCAACAACAGCTGGTATCCTTACTACCTTAAGCCATTGTGTGGAAGTTATGAACCAGAGGGAAGAGTCTTTCAAGAGACGTTTAGAGCGTGAAGGAGAGAAGCACAGGCGACTAGAAGAGAAGTTGAAGCATGCTCTTGCTGATAATGTGAAAGAAATGCCAACTTCCAGAAGAATGGTAGTCATGGGAGGACCTGATTATGAGGTGTGTTTTATCTTTGCCTTTCTTGATAAAAGTACAACATTAGAAGCAGTAGTGATGAATATTTGTGTGAATATTTAGGTAATAAATTACATACTTAAGATGTCTTGGACTTATTAATGAGGTTTATCTTGATTTGAATAATTATTTGATTTCTAAGCAGGGTTTTGTTAAAGCTAGACTTAAGTGTTATTTACCTTTTGCCTAATCATGATGTACATCGTAAGATTAAATGAGTTACACTCATTTTTTATTGTAGGAAGGACCCCATAGTGTAATAGGAGAGGATGAGTTCTATGATGCTGTTGAATCAGCTCTGGACAAAATGGATGAGGAGGAGGAGTTCAGGGAACGTTTACGTCTGAAGCAATTAGCAACGCCTCAGAAACCTGCAGCCGCTCACCCTCTTTGGCCTCAAGTAAGTGTTAATTTTCTGTGGTAAAGATTTTAAGAAAATTGCAAAGAAAGTGTAGGTTTTTGTTAATTTTAGAATGTTCTGTTTTCAGTTGAATTATTAAACACTTTCTTTAGGCCATATTGAGGTCTTCATTTGGATCCTGGTCAAAAAATTTAATAATTTTTAAACACTGGAAAGTTCTTTTTTTTTTTTTTTTTTTTTTTTTTTTTTTTTTTTTTAGCATGGGATCATTTCAAATTAACTTATAATTTTTCTCAGTAACTTAGCTTATTAGAGTCAAAATGCATTTGTTCACATATACATGTGCATATATATATATATATATACCTAATTTAGCTATATATTTTACATGAAGCAAAATTATTGACCTTAAGAAGGATGCTTGTTTGTAAATAGCAGTTATGCTTTAGAAAACAAGTTTTTGTGTTTTAATAGTAATAGTAATTCAGACATTTTGCTTAATCATTATTTAACCTTTTTATGTATAACTGTTTAAGGCTATTTTCTGCCAATAAATTATCTACACTTTGGAATGGCACTTAAGATCTATATTTTTGCTCCTTCAGATTGAAAAACTGACACTGGAGCAGCTTGGCTATGCACAGCAAGGTGTGGAGGGTGGCATTTGGCAGATCTTTGCAGAAGAAGGGGAAATGAAGATGTATCGGCGAGAGTTGGAGGAAGATGGACTGGTTGTGGATCCATTGAAGGCTGTGCATCAAGTAAGAGGAGCTACAGCACACGAGATGGCTCACCATTTCTGGTCACCTGATGTTAGATTTGAATGGGATAGTAAGTATTTAGTGGTCAGCAAAATTGTTCCTCTTGTGAGGAATTGTGACTGTACATAACAAAAAGTTCGATACTTTCCTTTCAAATTCAGTAGTGTACAGTAGTTCCTAACTCCAAGGCATTATATTGGATTACGTTCTATCCAGAACTAGGAGAAAATCTGTAGGAGCCGTGATGAGGATTCGAACCTATGTGCTGGGTGATCCCAGGCACACGCTCCAGACAACTAGGCCACGATATGGCCAAAAGGATTGCAACCTGGGGTACTACTGCACCTACGAGGATTCCTGAGGCTTCCACTGAAGCCGAACCAGAGTTTCATACAATCCCCCCATGCACTCTGGCTCTGTCCTCTAGGAATGTTCTACCTCTGACACGCCTCTTTCATTACAGAGAGTAATCACACTAACGTGAAGCATCAGTGAGAAAATCCGTAGGAGCTGTGGTGAAGATTCGAACCTGTATGCTGGGTGTTCCCGGGCACATGCGCCAGACAGCTAGGCCATGACATGGTCAAAAGGATTGCAACATGGGGTACTACTGCACCCACAAGGATTCCCGAGTGGAAGCCTCGGGAATCCTTGCGCGTGCAGTAGTACACCAGGATGCAATCGTCTTGACCATGTCATGGGTTAGTTGTCTGGAGTGTGCGCCCGGGAACACCCAGCGCACAGGTTTGAATCCTCATCACGGCTCCTTCAGATTTTCTCATCACTGTATCACATTATCACATTAGTGATAATGTGTATCACATTAGTATTATTACTCCTGAACTATTACTCCAGAGTGTATCCAGAACTAGCTGTAGGTACTGCCATCAGTGGGGAGAGGGGGCGGACATTGTATAATCATTTCTATTAATTTGTAATATTTTCTTTGTGACATTCAGTTAAAGGCAGTTATTAGGTCTAAATTTTGGGTAGTGTAAAGCATGAGTGGCTCCTGGTATGTACATTAAGGAATTAAAAGGAGACCACTGTTGTGAGACAAACAAAATCTCATTAATGTAGTCGGTAATTGATGACACTAGTTTGCATTCCATTGACAGTTGTTGATACCAGCAGTGTCATATATTTTGTTTTTGTACTTTTAAGTGCATACTGTTTCTACCTCTTTGCCCTTACTTCATTACACACAGAAATCACAATAACGTGATGCATCAATGAACAAATCCAAAAGGGCTTGCCCTTGTGGATTTGTTCATTGATGCATCACGTTATTGTGATTTCTGTGTGTAATAGTAATGGGGTTTCCACATGCCTTGCAAAGTAGTAACACTGAGTCATCTGCAGGCATATGAATGATGAATCGAATCGCCTAGCTATGCAGTATTTTTAATTTTGATATTTATAAATCTCACTATTATTTACCTTTTATCTTCACTCGGCTACTTCTCAGCCTTGTGAAAGTAGGAAGTGGGTTAATAATGATGTATGTACATTGCTCTTTTTAAACATTGTTTGTTGTATGTAGAATTTTCTTGTGTTGTTTGGAAACATTATATATCTACAAGTTTACCTTCTCCATTTCAGCTAGTATTGAACAGATGACAGTCTTGGACAGGATATCAAATGATACGATAATTTTCTTGCAATTACACAAGAGAGTTTGGCCAACAGCACAGCGTGATGCTCTCTTTTGGTCACATATACGACAGATACCCTCCACAGATCCTGCCAATGGAAGTGCTCGTGATACATGGATCGTATGTAATCAATCCACAGAACATCCAGATGCCCCTGTAAGTAATATCTACTAATAGCTGAGGTAGAAAATGTATTATTTTAAGTGGATTATGAATTCAGTATGCTGTTATTGTAGGTTACAGTATTCAATGCTTGGTACTGTAAATTGGTATTGGTAATGTGTTGAACATGTTAGTGTATAGGTCTTGTCATTGTCTGCAGTCATGCAGGCAGATGAAGTTATAGAAGTAAAAGGGGGTTTATTTGTGTATTTTCATGTTTTCAGTGAATCTTGTCTCATTTCTTAGAATTTTCTTAGAGAAATTAAATGTGAAATACAGTCAGACCAAGACAGCCAGAAGATAAATTTCACACAGGTCACAACTGTTTAGACATTCAGCTGTTGGTCCTTTCATTTCAATAAGTATATTGACCAAAATATTTTGTGATAGTGTGTTTGATGTTTTTTGCAGTACAGATTGTTGACTAAAATGTGTGAAATTCTTGTTGAGCTTTCTTATTATTACTAGGATGAAATGTTGTGTGTTCTTTGGTACAGGATGTGTCGTGTTGTGTTAGGGAAGTTGTGGTTGCGTGATATACTATTGATGGTCACGGAGTTGGGAGTCAGGGCCAGCAGTTAGAGCTGCTGGCCCTAATTTCATGGTCAGGATAGGTACTTGGTTCTTTTGGTTCTTATTCATGGTCAGGGACAATCATTGGTGGCTAGAGGATGTACAGTACTTTGCTGTACTGAACCTTACTGATTGCCATGGGATGGACATTACTTGGCTCAACTGGCCTCTACTACAAATCCTTTTGTACTGTATTTTGTGATTTCATGATGTTTTTTATTATTACCACCATCTTGACAGTTTTCTTGGAGCTTGTTTTGCTATTTATTATGACTTCTTTTTTTTCTTGAAACAATAAAAAGTGAGTTTCTAAGTTTCTGTTTCCATGGTTAGGCTAAACAAATTCATCCAGAATATTTTTAAGGTTCTTAACATCCTTAGTTGTAGCTAATTGAGGAAGATGTGTCCAATTTGGCTACTGTTTGGAGGATTTTGACTTTGGTCCAATGTTTTCGATGTGAGAAATAATTTGTAATTTATGTAGAAAAATGTGAGTTGTAATTTTGCAGCTTGCATAATAAAATGTTTCTGTATTTACAGAATGATGGAAAATGTGTTCGGGTTGACCTTACAGTTTGTTTCGTGTGTCAAACATTCATCGAACCTCCACCTGCTGAGGGTGAACCTTTGACACGAGACAATCTTTTGACAAAGATAACATACTGCTCTGTAGGTGAGTGTGGGTAACACCACAAATTTGAAATTGGGCTACCTTTTTTTATTATAATACTAATTAATCATCATGCAAATTTAGATTATTCATGTAGTACTCAGTATATTTACAGTAACAGAAAATTGCTTGTGTGATACATTGTGAATTTGTTTTCTGCAGTGAATCCTGGCGGATGGGCTCCAGCCTCTGTGCTCAGGGCGGTGTACAAGCGTGAATATCCAAAGTTCCTCAAGAGGTTCACACAGTATGTTGTTGACAAATCTGCTGACCAGCCTATAGCATTCTCAGGGTTGAAGATAAAAGATCACAGTAAGCACTGGAGAGGTTAATAACTTTTATTTTCATCAAGTTCAAAAGGTTTTGGCTGTGATTAAAGGAACTGGGAACTGCTACCAAAGTATCATTATAGTACTGCCAGATATAACTAACCTCCAAAGCTTTGTAATATGGCCTTGGACAAATTTTATGCTCACACTTGTAGATGAGTAACAGAGACTGTATTTTATTAGAATATGAGGATTACAGGTGAGAGTATGCATTTAGGGGAAAATGCTGCTAACACTCTTGGAAGTTTTAGGGTCAGAGTGTAGTCAGTTTATTGCCAGTCTGAAATGGTTTAGCATATTTTATACTTTAAATGAGTAAATAAGTTTGGTACTCGGTACTATTGCAGAAGTACAATATTAAGTTGCTAGAAGGCTTGTTAACTTGACCTTTCCTGAAACTTCATATTCAAGAAGTTTTCCATAATTATGAATAGTTAATCTTACAATGGAGAACAGTGGAGGTATACTATAGCTGTACAGAAATGTTTGTGTAAAGAGACAGGAATGAAAAGAAGTTGTATGTGAATATTGGAAGCGGTAATTAAACTGATGATAAAGGGATACGATCATGAGTGAGTTGCCCTCCTTCAGGATGAGTAGTTATTTACACTACCAGGAGAATGCAGTGGGTTTTCCCTTCCACCAGTAAATTGCAGTGGGTTCCTCCTTCCACTGAGAGAGTGTAGTGGGTTCCCCTTCCACTGGGAGAGTGCAGTGGGTTCCCCTTCCACTGGGAGAGTGCAGTGGGTTCCCCCTTCCACTGGGAGAGTGCAGTGGGTTCCCCCTTCCACTGGGAGAGTGCAGTGGGTTTCCCCTTCCACTGGGAGAGTGCAGTGGGTTTCCCCTTCCACCGGGAGAGTGCAGTGGGTTCCCCCTTCCACTGGGAGAGTGCAGTGGGTTCCCCTTCCACTGGGAGAGTGCAGTGGGTTCCCCTTCCACTGGGAGAGTGTAGTGGGTTTCCCTTCCACTGGGAGAGTGCAATGGGTTCCCCTTCCACCAGGAGAGTGCAGTGGGCTGATCTGCCCCTTCTGGTGCAGCGAGAGATGTATGCTTTATCAGAAGAAATTTACATTTCATCTTGATGATATGGAACTAGTCTACTTTCACCTTTTTGGTTTTACTTTATTTTTGTCACGACTTTGTGCTCTCTTCATTAACACTATGAAAAAGGTAATGTAAAACAGAGGTCACCAGGTTATTAATAGTGGACTTGTCAGTTAGAAACCACTTTCTGGGCTGGCCTTCAGTAGCTTCCCACAGCATTGACTCTGGTACCACAGACATACCCACAAAATCATGCAAGCCTGTCAAACACCAGGGGCCAGATTCACGAAGCAGTTACGCAAGTATTTACGAACATGTACATATTTCCTCATTCTTTGACGGCTTTGGTTATATTTATTAAACAATTTACAAGCATGAAAACTTCCCAATCAACTGTTGTTATTGTTATAAACGGCTTCTTGGTGCTTCAGGTTCATTAACTTTAATAATTGTAAACAAATCCACCAAAGATTGAGAAAAGATGTACAGGTTCGTAAGTGCTTGTGTAACTGCTTCGTGAATCTGGCCCCCTGAACCAGAATCTGGTGGGCTTATGGAGTCGAGGAAGCATGGGGATCTAAGATTGACCCAAAACAAAGTAAAACTGTCCAGAAAGTACAAATGAAGCACACACAAACTAATGGTACTTATTTTGATGGAAAGAGAAAATATTTAAATGGGAGTGGTAGGTAGGTAGGGAGTGGTCCCAATGTCAGAGAACCATGCAATAGTATCAGAGCGCAGCACTAGGGTTCCATTTCAAGTCAACCATGGGTCTAACCTACCTGCCTTCTCTGACAGATGCATGGTACCAAACACATTACTCCTCTGCAAGAACATACTTTTTCTCGTGCCGATTGGGATTGGTGTTCCTTGGGACTTTGTCCGATGGAAGAGGTGGGTGGTGGGTGCACACATAATATTTCTGTTTTCATTACACTTCACAATTGTTAATGCTCTTCATCTTGTGTGTCAATATCTTATTAGTTCGCCCAACTTTATTTCAGGGTAACTTTCCTAAGCGTCACCTAGCTCTTATTGGTTCCTAACTAGAGTTACCTTCTCTGAGGGGGTTTGAGTGTCCTTTCCTTGGCTTTCTTTCTCTAAAGTTGTCCCAATATCTGGATAGTACTTTGGACTAGGTCCTCATGCCAGGAATTTGGCAAAAAAAAATAGCTACTCACCTTTTGGATGTTCTCTCAGCCTCACTGGGCTTATGTGGTTCTTGTTTACCTTTCCATTCTTTGCATTTCTCCTTTCCTGAACCCTAGATTTCCAGCCTTTTAACCCAATGGTTAACCCAAAGTCCCTCCATCTTTATTTGTGCCTTTAGAGTACCTTTCTGAGGCATTGTTTTGAGTATGCACTGAGTAGTTACTGAGGGCCAGCTCAGAAATCAAGTGTAAATTAAATGAAATTCTCTCTTTTAGGTGACCTTGGTAGGTCACCAAACCTGGTTGACTTTGGCCATTTTTTGGTGTGTGAGAAGGGGGGGGGGGGGCAAACAGAATGTGTTGGGGGTGATACACGAGTGAAGCAGGCAGGCATCTTGGATCCCTGGCTGATTTTAGTTACCACCTGGTGAAATGGTTAAGTACAAGTGCATGGTTTGTTGACATTAGGTAAACTTTCACTTATCTTGTTTTCAGCTTTTCTCTTTTTATGCAAAAAGTAATTTGTTTTGCTTCTGTACTTTATGGACAATTTTAATCTGTTCTGGGTCAATGTCATGCTCCCATTACCTCTTGTGGGCACACCAGATTCTAGTCATGGTGTTGGGTAGGCCTGCACAATTCACGAGGCCTAGCACTGTAGTAGATGTCTGTCGTATCAAAGACAATACACGGGAGAGCTACTGTGGCTGCTTAGAGAAGATTTTTCTTTATACTAAATGCTTGATTTATTCTTACAGTCTAGTGAAAATTTTATGTATTTAAAGTACACTGTGTAATATTTGTCCGACTTTATTGGAAGAGAAATTACAAAGTGATCAAGTATTAGGACTTTGATGGTCAAGGCATTGCATTTCAAAACATAAACTTTATTTCCTGGGTCTTTGAGTACTTACAATGATAAAAGATGAGCATCAGCTCATGAACCACCTTGTTCTCATAATTTGACAAGTGTCAGATTTGGAGTGGATTTACCAAACCAGAAACGTATCAACCTAGTTCATCCACCCAATCTCTCGAAGCTGGTGCTCATTAGTTTGAGAAAGTATCAATATTATGGTGCCTCTTATTTCATTAATGCACCATAATTTTGATGCTGTGGCCAATAACATCAAAATTACATTGCATTAACCCTTGAATGATGGCCTACATCAATTGACATATTAGGGGTGTTTTGAAATCAACACAGCTAGCATCAGTTGACGTTTGTCACTACACAAACATTTGAGAATTGGGTTCTAATCATAAATGCCTATAATTACCAAGATTTGACATTTTTCTGGATATTATTGCATAATGAAAAGATAAACCTTAATATTATACATAAATGTCTTCAATTATTAGAATTTTTGATTAAGTAGAATCATTGCTCATAAAAGCATTTGCTTATAATTATGTTTGAAAATTTTGAATTTTTTTTTCTAATTTACTGTATATTTTTCTTTGAATTCTGTAAGAGAACTTTAAATTATGGGCAATATTTATACAAAAATTCAAAACTTTATATTGGCAAATTCAACATTTAACTAATATGAAATTCTGTATATCCAAGGAAATGTAGAATTGTTATTTAAATTCTTTTCTCCATATATTAGATGTTTAAAAATAAGAAAAACAAATACAAATATATATTTATGCAGGAAGGTAAACTTATAAAGATATCTGTTAGGAAATAAACTGCAGAAACTTTAAGACGGCCACTATCTTTGTTCTGGGAGTTTTACAGTGTGTGTGTGCTGTTAAGAGCAGTTTTCGAGGTTTAATACTGTTAAAATTGCACATATGGGGGTGGGTCTATCCAGAGAACAGTTGCGCTCTTCGTTAAGGTTGACCGCAGATTGCATGAGCATATGGCTCCTGAGCTCTGTAGATCGTGATTATTACTTCTTCTAAACATTTCTTAATAAATTTGAAGGTAATTTATATGTTTTTTGTGTGGTTCAGTGCACAAAGGTTAATATGCAGCTTAATTAAAAAGCAAAAACAAAAACAGTTAATGTGATTTTTTTTCCAATATTTATAGCATGGTAGCCAAACGATCATTACCCCCAGACCAGCTAATCCTTATATTTTTTAGCATATAATTTATGGTTGCTTTTTATGTAATACAGTATTTGTTTTGTCTATTTTTTTAGAATACATTCCGGTTCCATTTGCCTTACCTCATTAAAGGTTTTGAATTTTTAAATACAGTATTGTAATTCCTGCTTCATGTTATCATTAGAGATAAGTCAAATTAGATTTTTTAAATCTTTGTAAAGAAATTCATGAAAAGGATGATAGTGAAGTCAGTTGTTCTCCAACGCTTTCCTCTGTCTTAGTTATTAGTTTAAGCAATGTCTCAGATTCTGGTAGCAGATCAGCATAACAAATTGTTAACATTCTTTCCCAATATTTTAACCCCCCGCCCCAACACTTTTGTGTAAACTTCTGGTAAAATATGGGTGTTAATTTTCTTTTTAATAGTTGTAACAACTATTTCATGAATACAATTATATTGTTGCAGCACAATTAATATAATATAGTATCACAAAATTGCACAATAAGTGCATTTGATTGTTTAGTGTGAAATAATCTTTAAGTAAAAGCTTCTCTAGCTTTCTTTTAGTTACAATGTTTGATCAGCTGTTGGGCACTGTTGTATACATGCAGTAGTGCTCTAGACAGGGTAGGTCACTGATGCCACCTTGTAGCTCTTGACATGAGTTACTCTTGTTTATAAAGTATATTTCAGTTTTTTATATCATCATCATTTTATGTTGGGAAACTCACTGCAATGCACGAAGTTGTTTGAATTGTTTTTTGTTTATTTCTTTATGATCTAAAGTGAATTACTTTTCTTCTGCAATAACTGTTAGCATGTGAAGCAAAATGAATTGTTCTACACTAAAATTCTCTTCATTTTTATTAACTAGGTTAACTGTAGTTATTAATCTGGGCTGAAACAATTATTGGTGTGATAAATTGTAATTATTAGCTCCTCAACGATGGCGTGTTCAAAACCCGATTATCCTCCCAGAACGGAATTTTTCAAATGCTGTACAGTACAGGTATATGAGAAAAATGTATATAATTGGCAGAATTGCGAAACATGAAACAGTAATTTAAAAATAATTGACAAATATTAACCTAATAGAATCAACTATAAATTTACAAATGTTAAACATTGTAAGTAAATGCAATAATTATGCATTCTTAAAATCTCTTAGTTAATATCAAGTGTTTAATGCAAATTAAAGTAAGAGGAAAATTGATGCCAAGAAAGTGATTAATGTTCACGGGCAACCTTCTGATATACAGTACTGCCTTGAACATTATACAAGACTGCTGCAATCCTGAATGGGGACTTTGTTCACAAGTGTTGCATTAACGATGCATGTGCTTTTGATGTTTTTTTTGGGAAATTGTATTTAAATGTGTTAAAAGTTTTGGTGATAGCCATCAGTTATATACACAAATTAGTTTATGCTACTTTTATACTTGTAAATGTACTGAAAGTATTCAAAAATGGTTAAGGAAGGAAACTTGCTATTTAAAATGTACTTTCATTGTAAGAAATTAAGATGTAGGAAAAACTGTTCTCATTGACTTCCTTTAAAGTTCTTCTGCAGAAACTTCAGCACTTTGCTGTGAATTTCTAACGACTTTACATTATGTTATAATTATAGTTTGTGATGTTCAAATGACTTTGAATGAATATGTATGCTATGTTTCTATGCCTAAATAATAAGTTGTGGCAATAAGCATGAAAGAGGGAGGCAAGGTGCGTAACAACTGTGGCATTGACTTTGTTTGATCACCCAACTTGTGGCAAGAGAGGTTATTGATGAAGAGGGACACAGTGTATATAAGAAGCTTGGAGTAATGAGAATTTTGGTATGCATTGCCCTGGATGATATAAATTAATTTACTGTACTGTATAAGTATTAATGTGACCAGATGTGCAATTATGATAATTATATACAGTGGAACCTCGAATAACGAATTTAATTCATTTTGGCACCGTGATCGTCATGTGAAACAGACATCATACAAAACGAATGTCCCCATTGACAATAATGGAATTCAAATTAATCCATTCAACCACCGAAAAATATCAATATGATATTCAATGTTTTAAATAATGGAGCAGCCTCCTTTACATACACTGAACAAACCTTTGACATTTTTCTTTCTTCAAATTTGTTCAATATTTTTTTTTCATTTGTATTATGGCAAAAGGTTTGTTCGGTAGGTAGACTGCTCCATGTTTCTTAAAAAAAAAAAAAAAAAAAAAGGAAAAAAAAAAAAGGTTGAAACAATTTGAAAAACAGACAAATGCCATAAAGGTTCGTTCAGTGTTTGTCGGGTAGGCTGCTCCATTATAGTAATCTTTCTTTGTTTCAAATGTATTCCATTTGTTTTGTATTTTTTCATTTACGTCTCAATAATGGAGCAGCCTACCCAACAAACATTGAATGAATCTTTATGGCATTTGTCTGTTTTCAAATTGCTTCAACCGTTTTTTTATTTTTAGTTTTTTTATTTAAGAAACATGGAGCAGCCTACTGCCGAACACCGAACGAACCTTTTTGACATTTGTTCTGTTTTACAAAATTTTTCATTTTTTTATTTTTTGTTTTTTTATTTAGGATACATGGAGCAGCCTACCTGCCGAACACCGAATGAACCTTTATGACATTTGTTGTATTTCAAAAAATTTAATTACTTTTTTTTCAACAAAAAAGTCATTGCTTTGCAACATTTCAGCAGTCACCCCTTTATATCCTGCCATCATTAGCATCTTTAAACAAAAACAACATAATTTATTTGCATCGTCGGAGTCGTCTGAGAATGTGCAAGAAGCAGCGCGACCCCACAATGTAGTGTCTTCATTATTCAAACGAGCGGTCGCCATACGAGACGAATTGTTGGCAATCGGGTCGGTCGTTACCTAAAATGTTCGCCATTTGAGGCTATCGTTATTCGAGGTACCACTGTATAACATATTTTGTTGCTGTATTTGTTAATGAGGCTGACTGTGTAGTGGATATTGTTAATTATTTATTGGTCAAAGAAACAAATTCAGAGGTGCTCTTGTGGCTTTCTGCATAAGTTATGATTATACTAGAGAACGTGTTAATAATAGTGATGTTACAAGTAAACTGTTGATCAACAGAGTTATATTCTGAATCTTCTCGGAGCAAGTGTTGATGCATGATTGTGATTTTTGTGTATGTTAGTAAGAGTGATTTCCAAGAGGGTTTGTATGTGGGTACACAGGTCAGTTTACTGGCATTGAAGATGGTAAATAATTACACAGTTCCTTTAAAAATCTTAGAGTTTCAAATAAAGTTTTTCCTACTAGTGTGCCTAAATAAGTTGATTGTGTAATTTGGCTGAATATAGCTAATATTAGAATGTTTAAATTAGTAAATATATGATTTTCCTAACTATGGGGAAAATTTGTAGCAAATGTGTAGTTTTGGCCAGTCGTAGTTTTTAGTCTTTTGTCATTACAGTATTTTATTACTGTAAAGATATTATGAAAAAAAGGGTTGCAATATGAATCCACACTTACCAGAGATTATACCGTGTCATTTATTGTTACCCTATATTAAGATAGTTAAGTTTATCTGTGCTAGGGTAAAAGCACTTGTGGATTTTTATGCCATTTTAATTAAAAATAAGCAAATTTGTTTGGCAAACTTTGTTGAGAAATTACAAATTGTTTTATATATAAAAATATATGAAGTTATGTAAGTG